AATATTTATTATATGTAACACCGTCTTAGAGAAAATTTCTCATTTTTGATGTTAATGGAGTTCTTGCCTGTTTTCCAATTAAACCAAAAAGTATGATAATTTTTTTTAAATTCTATACAGGAGTTAAATCCCTCAAAGTACAATTCTCATTTATTTTTGTCTATGTAGTAGATGTTAAAATGAGACTAGTTGTATCACAATTTATTCAATTTTTTTTAGATAACTTCTTGTTGCCATTTGGTTTTTTAAGTTGAGGAAATAAATTTTATTATGTTGAAATACTATAAATAATTTACCATTGTATGTTTCTCATGTTAATTATTACTAACAATCCAGACGTAACATTGATCGTGCACTTAATCAATTGCATGGTTTATCTGAGCAATTTCTATTCACTTGGGTAAGATATATGTATTTTTAATTTTTAAGGGTAAATTATACCAGTGACCATCTAACTATAGTCATTTTTCATTTTAAACACCATTTTTGAATGTGTCAATCAGGTCACCAAACTATTTAAATGCATTCAATCATTCCACTTGTTGTTAACGTTTAACGGGAGTGCTGATGTGACAGTTAATAAAATTCATATAATTACACATTTAGTCCTTATAACTTACACAATCTATCAAATTTGACATGATTTTAAATTAATTCAATATATTTAATCGTCTAATAATATGACAACACGTGCCACAATATCATTGGAGGGTTTTTTTAATAAAAAATTATTGTTATTCCTTGAGTACCCGGGTTCGAGCACCATAGATGCCAGTGGTCTGAGCGTTCAATGTCGAGAGGTTGAGAGTTATCTTTGAACAGATATTGCCTTGTACTTATCCCAGATTAATAAAAATAAAATAAAAAAGCCCTCCAATGATATTGTGACACATGTTGTCATATTATTGAAAGATTAAATATGTTGAATTAATTTAAAATTATGACCAATTTGATAGATTGTGTAAGTAATAAGTACTAAATGTGTAATTATACAAATTTTATTAACTGACAAGTCAACACTTCCGTTAAATGTTAACGACAAGTGACCTAATTAAATATATTTAAATAGTTAAGTGACCTTACTGATAAGAATTTAAAAATGGTGGTCAAAATGAGAAGAGACTATAGTTGAGTGGCCATTGATATAGTTTATCCATTTTTTAATTTTGTGTACGATCTTATTAGAAAATATTGTTTAATTCTTTCTTTAACTGGGATCAGAAAAGTGAAGATGATTTCACATTTTGTAAAGATTTATACGATGTCAATGTGATTAATAGTATTTACCGTTTATAATTTATTTTATTATTGTTTATTATATTTTAGGCATAACTGGATATATTATTACGATTGATAACATTTCTAATTGTCAAACTAATATTTTAAAGTTATTATTTTGTTTTTCTTATTTTATATAAAATGGTAACATTTTTCATTTGCAATCATTATTGTTATCGATATGATTAATTTTTTCGATTCTTATTTATTATATTTTGTATTTTATTTTTAATATGTCACCGTTTTAAGCAGTAAATAGGTGTGTGCAAATTAACATGTAACTGTTAACAGGAACAGTTAAGTGGTATAATTGTCATATTTTACAAGTTAATTAACCAAACCGTTAAGATTAAACAGCTTTGGTTAACCAAACCGTTAAAAATAAAAATTAATGATTACAGTTACGTTTACAGATTTTGATAAAATGGTTAACCGTTATTAAATTAATTTAGGAGACTCGTCCTTTTATTTTTCTTTCTTGGTTTATATATATATATATATATATATATAAACAAATTTAACTTGCAAATTGAGAATTGCAAATTGATTAAGGGTGCTGCAAATTAAATTATAAATATTATAAATTGAGTCACGATTGATTCAAATTGATTATAAGTGATGTAAATCGAATTCGAGTGTTATGAAAAGATAAGTTCAAGATTCAAACTACTATTTTATTATTGATTTTTTAATTATTTATTTAACTTTAGAAATATATATTTTATATTTTAGTTGACAAAAATAATAATAATAAAACATATTAAAAAGAAAAATTCATCCTCAAGATGGCTGAAACAAATTTCATTTCGGAGGAAGTCAATGAAGACTTTGGGTATTGATGAGTTGATATTTGAGTTAATTTTTTGTGACTTACAGTACTACATCATAGAAGTTTCATTTACCTTATGTTGGAATTATTAGAGACTTTGAGTTGTCATATTTATTTTTATGTTTAACAAAGATTTATCTTTAAAAACTTTGATTGTGTTTTGGATCATTGTTAATTGATATGTGCTTAAATTTATAGAATGTTTAATTATGTATTTTGTGTATATTGAAACTTTAACCTAATATAAAAATATGCAAATGTAGTTTGGATATGTATTAAGTACTATGTAGAGTCAATATATATTTTTAAAAAAAATTAAGGAGTAAAAATATGAAAAATATATATATAAAATAAGTTACAAGTTAGTCTATTTCTTAATGGTTAGATTATGGTTAATAAAATTCAATAATTGTTTTAATGGTCAATAAACTCTGAGTAAATAGTAAAGTTAACTGATCGCGAACACCCTATCAATAAAGTGACGCCATTTATTAGACTTACTTTAATTCTCTCACACCATAATCACTCAATAGTAGGATAATATTTCTAAAATTAGAAAATTAAGTGTTTAAATAAATGCAATTAATTTTCAGATCTGGTGTTTTTATCCAAATAAAACGAACTTTAAAGGGCCGAAGCGGTAAGTCAACAAAGGCAGAACAGGTAAGGGTGTTAAATAACAAGAGAAATCTGAAAAATGTCTCAAGTTACTAAAGAACATTGAAGTTCAACTTGCATCGAAGATATCTTCTTTTATAATCTTTCCATATATTACATTTACACTGCACATGAGTGTAAACCAACAGTAAAGCAAAGACCCACAGCAATGGCAGATCCCGTAAAGAAGAGAATGCTGAAAGAAGAAATCGTTACCTACGCTTATCTCATTCTCTACATCGCTCTCTCCAGCGGTCAAATCTTCTTCAACTAGGTGCCTTTTCTCTTTCTCTTTCTCTTTTGGATCTCTCCTTTTTCATCTCCTTGATATGAATTCCTGACGGTATTAAGTTCTAGGCTTGGCTTTGGTGAAAATGCTTATAACTTCAATTAATTTAATTCTATGTTTAGCTTAATTATTCTAGATGGAGTTGTCGTCCCTTCCCTTCGAAAGTAAGCTCGTAATCTGATGTTTTTTAATTGGTAATTTTATATTAAAATTAGCGGTAATGCTTTGCTTGTAATTTGATAAAGATGTGGATGTTGAAATTTTCAAAGTCTTATAAAATTTGCTTCAGAAAAAAAGAGTTTTAGTTCTATTCAATGATTCACCTGGATTCCCCTAATTGAAATGCATAATCTTCCAGCATTCAAGCAGGAAATGAGTGTCAAGTAGCTATAATTTTGGCCTTTTTATGAGTTAATGCGAGCAGATATATTTCCTTTATAGTCTTCTCGCTTTCTTGAGTTCTTTATATTTCGGTGACACTAGTTTTAGGGTATCTATGTGCATTTATGCACAAGGTTTATCATGATGCTGGATACTTAGAACCTCATGTGACAAAATATTGTTATCGTTTGTTACATGTGCCCGAAAATGGTGCCCATTCAGGTGAATGAGTTTAATAGGGGTCTAGAACTGTGTTAACAGTTAACTTCTTATGCATACACCTTTCTGGCAAACCTTTTCGATTTCTGAGTTCAGATCTATGTTGTTCATGTCAAATGCAATGCATTTTGTATAAGTTTTTAATATTTTGTGTTGTTCGTTTGGCCATATTATTCACGATTTTTTTAGTGTTGTTATTTTTCCTCCATAAAATTGTTGTTTGAGATGGTAAAGATCGAGAAATGCTTTTAATTTTTCCGGTAATCTTCTTGTTCACTTGAATTCCCCATACTATATTGGCAATAGGCCGACAAGGATTTAGAATCTCATGCGTAAAGAATGTCATTACCCTTTGTAACATTTGTCTGAAAATGGTCCATTCAGGTGAGTGGGCCAAATTTGCTATTGATAACTATGGTAATCCCTATGCATACCTGATTGTGCAAACTTGTTTGACTTGAGGGTTCAGAATAGTGTTGTTAATGTCAAACTCAAATACAATGTTTTCTCCCCCAGTTCAAACATTGTATATATTGTTAACTTAACCATGTTATCCATTAATTTGCAGTGTTGCTCGCCATTTTTTCTCTTTAGAATGATTGTTTGATATAGTAAAGAACAAGAAACACTTGTGACTAAAAATTAGGATAAGTGGAAAAGTTCACGTGTTAGTGAGAGAAGCTCTAGCTTCTCTCTAACCTAGGTGTTTTTCAAATTTCAAATATCCCAGGCGTTTTTGAAATTTATTCTCCCCTCCGACATTCATTCGTTGTCCGCCGCCGCCGTCCGCCACCCACCGCCGCCGTTTGTCACCGCATCGGCCGCCACATCCGGTGGCTGTTGACCACCAAATCTTCCAGGTTTTTTCGTCTCGGCGCCATCATCTCGGTTCTAGGCATCATTACGTCAAGGTGAGCCTTCAACTCAGTGGATCTTGGACGAGGACCTTCGGCTTTCAGTTGTTGGCGACGCATCTTCTTCTCCGTCAAAGATCTTTACGCCTTGGTTTCCGTTTTGCCAGCGTCTCATCGCCTGTACATCTTCTTCCCGCTGGACTGGCCTTTTTCTTGCGAACATTACAATTTTTTTCCTATCTTCCAGACCCATGGCGTTTTTCGTGTTTTAGTTTTTTGTCGGGATAACTACGAAGTTCATCTGTCTTCAGGTCCTATATCTACCTGTTGGACTCTATTCATCACCTACTCCCTTCTTTTTTCGCCGGCAGTCACAGCCTCCATCGCCGGTAGTCACAGCCTCCATCGTCGGCAGTCACAGCTTCCATCGCCGGGCGCTAACAGAATAGTTCCGTCAAGTCCCTGGGTTGTTTTTACTTCAACGGTTTTCTTCATGCGGGGTGCTGGAATCCTCCCTTCTGTCCAGCAGAAATCGAAGGGCCAAACTCCTTCATCCTCTGCAGACGCGCTTTCTCCGTCATCTCTCCCTTCTCATCTTGAGGAGGTTCGTACCATCTTCATTATGGGTCTGCCTGTAGATGTCAAAGAGAGAGAGCTGCAGAATCTTCTGAGATGGCTTCCATGCTTTGAAGATTCTCATTTGAGTTATAAAGGAGAAAAGCTTAAGGGTTTCACTCTCTTCTCAAATGCAGAATTTGCAGTTGCTGCCAAGGATGCTCTCCAGAAAATGGTTTTTGATTCTAAGTTGAAGTCCCTTTTGCACATTGAGATGGCAAGGAAGAATCTTGTTGTTAAAAGAGGTATTATTTCTAATTCTGATGCTCCTGTTCCTCCAGTACAACCATTGCCAAATCCAGCCTCTTTAGCATCTCCAAGTATTCATGTGCCTTTTAAATCTGGGAGTTGCGACGAAAAGTCAGCAGTTGATGGTGTCCACGATGGAACCAGGGAATCTATCACAAAGGAGTGCAATGTTGATAAGTATGGATGCTACACATTATTTGTTGAAAATTTACCAGAGAATATCCATTGGAAGAGGCTTGGATCATTTTTTTGCTCCCATGGTCGGGTTATTGATGCTTTTATTCCAAATAAAAGAAATGCAAAAGGAGTTCGTTTTGGTTTCATTCGCTTCGCTTCAATTGAAAGAAGCAAGGAGATCGACCTCAAAAAATGAATGGCTCTTATATCGACGGCAGCAAAATTGGCGTTTCTTTCGCTAAATTCAAACCTCGTCAATCCTATTGGAGAAAGTCTTCCACAGGTGTTCTCCACAAGTCCGGGATGGAAGATGATTCGAGGAAGAAGCATTATAAAGTCGAAGGTGTTATTGATGAAGAAAAACTTTAGGTGTTGAATTATTGTCTAGTGGAGTGGTGTAAAAATTTCATCAAAATCAGTCATCTCGCTAGACAAATGCATGCGAAGGGCCTCACTGGCTTCTCCTTAATGAGAGCTGCTGGAAATGCGGTATTAATGATTTTCGAAGATTCTGCTTCATTGAGAAGTGTGAAGAACGATAAATCAGAGACTCTCGCAGAGTGGTTCTCTATAGTCGAAGCTTGGTCAGAGAGTTTGGTATTGGAGTGTCGCCGAGTATGGTTAGTTTGCGAGGGTGTTCCGTTTCACGCATGGAATTGGGATACCTTCAAGAACATTGCTGATAGTTGGGGTCAGTTACTAGCAATCGACGAAAGCTGTCAGTCACCATCATCCTTTGATCGGGCAAAAATTCAAGTCCTAGCAAAGGTTGGTGCGAGAATTGATGCGACGTTGGAATTGAAGGTGGGTGACAACTCCTTCAAGATCATGGTGCATGAGATAGAGCCTTCATTCAAGCCAAACTCGTGGGCTCCTGAAGAAGACGAATCTAATTAGATTTTGCCTTTCTATTTGTGGTTTAATTTAGTTTATATGGTTGCAGGTGTTGCTTTTATTTTGTTTTATGTTCTGTTGCGTTGTTTAAATTCTATTACTGGAGGTGTAATTAGAAATAAGGTGTTTAGATTACGACTTTGGTTGAGGTTATATGAGGTTAAGGTGTTTGTTGTAATGGTGTTTATCACCATAGGAGGATATTTCGTGTAATCTTTTGTATTGGGTATTGTTATTAATATAATTTGAGGTACTCTTTTCTTCCTTCCAATGTTCGTTAACATACTTCTTAGTATGTGAACGAATAAGAAGGGAGTTTTTAATGAGACCTCCAACTTCTATCAAAAAAAAAGAAACACTTGTGACTCTGATTCATAAGGCTGCTATTATTATTTTATGTTCTTCTTTTTCTGTGAAAACTGGAGTGGGCTTTTTCATCAAAGGAAATTAATTTTCCATATCCCCTTGGGTTGACTCTGCTTCACATGGCCTTCTCCTCTGTTCTCTGTCTCTTACTCACTAAGGGCTTCAAGGTAACCCAGCACTATATATTTATGTAAACTGATATATGGTGATGATTCTTAATTTCTCTCATGTGGAAACCTTGATCACCCTTTTTTCCCATGTCAGATTTTGAAAGTTGAAGAAGGAATGACATTAGAAATGTAAGTTAGTAATAGACCACCTTATTTATGATGCTTGAATTTGTAAGGTTTGACTTTGTATAGAGAAGCAGCAGGCTTATTTACTGCTTGATTTCATTAATGTCTTTACTGGTGATTGAATATGACTTGTTTCTCTTCAATGAAAGTTTAAATGACAGATGTGACGAACCAGGGAAAGAGAGAGAGTAAAACATGGGGTAAGCACACTTATTAAAAAAGGGAAAGAGATATATAGAAGGACAAAACAGTTGCAGAAAGAGAGAAATTAGACAGAATGAGAAGAAAATATTCAACAGAGTGGAACAACAACAACAACAACAAAACCCTATTCCCATATGTAATGGGGTAAGGGGGAGGTAGGGTAGTAGGCTGCCCCCAACGCCAGGTTGAGAGCAGCTTCCGTGTAAGACCTCCGACAGTCAGAAAATTAAAAATAAAGATAAAATACAAGGCATGTATAAATAAATAAATACATAGTTGAACAATCTTCATATGCAGAGAAGGATACACAGAAGTCATCGATAGCAAACTACGAGAACGAATAAAGTCAAATGGGTTAAAACCTAGACTAAGGCAATACTACTCCACTATCCTAGTTCTAAGCCTTCATAAAATCCAATGACAGAAACGTATAAAAAATAGAGGTCAATGGAAATTACTACAAAGGCAAATAAAAAGAAGAGGTCAATGAAAGAAATGGGCTGGTTGCCTTTTCTTTTAGTACTCAGGCAAATCATAAACTGAAATGATATAAGCAGTTATAGATGACTTTCTGAAAGTGATTGATAAATAGTAACCTTTTCTTTTTTCCAGGTAATTTCAATAATTTAGATGACCCAAAATACTTGAAACTAGAAATAAAAGTTTAAATTGTATGAAGTTATAACGATAAACTCCTAAACTATGCAGTCTCTTTATGTGCATCTTCTCTTGCATCAAATATTCTTAACTAGTTGTTGATTGTGGTCTTACTAGTCATTTGCTTTTAGATTAGGGAAGGTATCATTATTATGGTGCTCAAATAAGAACTTGGAAAGGGAGAGTTCTTTTTCTGTTGGTGATTTAGAGAAGCCCTTCAACCTTCCATACCTTCCTCCTTTCTGAAATTTGTTTGTATTCTCTCTCTTTACAATAATTGCACAGTGTAGCTGGTCCGTCCTTGGCTCCATTGGGGTTAGTTACTCTTTAAGCACCTTACTTAATAGGACTCCTATTAGAAAAGAAAGTTGTTTTTAACCTAGTTTAGCTGTCTCCCTATTTTTCTGGTATCATGTACTCTAGAATATAGACAAACACTTCCAGTAAGTTTTAAAAATCATAGAAAGATGAGATAAAGTAAAAGATTGTGTTAATTGATTTCACTGTTTCTGATTCATCTTGTTTCTTGCTCTGGTACTTGATCCAGTCTAAATATTTAGAACTCATGCTATTCAACTCATGCCAATTCTCTTTTCTCTTTGGAAGGTTAGTCATGTTTTTTTTTGATAGGAATAAAAGGCCTCCAAAAAACCCCCTTGGTGGTTAACGGAACTTAAAAATAGTTCCTTGACCCACACAAGGAGGAAAGGAGTGCCCTAGGATTCAATAAATTCAAATAAAACAAAGTATACAACCCATCTCCCTCAAGAGAGATAAAACCAAAAAGAAACAGTCCTTAACAGAGCATAATTCACCCAATACCCGCCTTAGCTAGGACATCCGCCTCTATATTGGCTGTCCTACTAACCCACCTAATAAAACCTTCAAAAACACTAAGCTTTTGAATAATGTCTTTAACTATTTGAACATAAACAACAGGACAAGAGACCACATCCTTAATCCAGTCAACTGCCACCTGACTATCACTCTCAATAATCAGTCTATCTTTAACCCTATGACGAATAGATTCAAAAAAATCTAAACCCTTTAGGATAGCCTTCAATTCCATTAAAGTTGGGGGCCCCGGACCAGCCGGCTCTTTGAAGGAACCAAGAATCGAACTAGACATGTCTTTCAAAATACCACCTAAGCCACTCCTCTTCCAATCACTCGAGGTAGCCGCATCCACATTAAGTTTAACAAAACCTTTTGGAGGTGGGGACCAAGGAAACACGGTTGAAACCCGATAAGAATGGGATGAGTAGGAATCCACTATGGACGGGTCAGCAATAATATCATCCTTGGAAATACTAACATGAGTTTCCTTAGCTAGAAACCATGAAGCAAGCCTGCACCTTGCAAGAAAGAAAATCTCTGCTCGATCAAGCTTCCCTCCTTCAAACACAATAAAATTCCTGGTCTTCCAAATTGTCCATAGAACAGCTCCAGGAATGAATGGCCAGATAAGAGAGTTGGACTTCAAGTCATTCCAAGCCAATAGGAATCTTTTAGCCTCTGTATGAAAAACCGATTGAAAATTCCAATATCCCAAGAATTTCATCCAAATTGGCCAAACAAACGAACATGAAAAAAATAAATGCGATGAAGACTCCTCTTCAAGATTACAGAAAGAACACAAAGTATCATTTATGCCCTGAACACCTCTCTTAACCAGAGCTGTCTTGACCGCCAACTTCTTTAATATAACTTGCCAAAGAAAAGTCTCAACTCTTGGAGGCAACAGACCCCTCCAAACATTAGACTTCCAAAATTTAGCTTCCTCTGAATCGGGAGAACCCGAATAAGATAGGTTGACACATGATTTCACTGTATAAACCCCTTCCCCATTCCCCTTCCAAAACAATCCATCAGTGGCATCAGCAGAAATAGAGAAATCAGAGATCACAACCATCAAATTTGCCCATTGCTCAAATTCCCAGTCATTCAACTCTCTCCTCAACTGAACGTTCCAAATCCAACCCCTTGAACTGAACTCCCCAAACTGAGTTAATCTTCCTTCTTTATTTACTGCAATAGAAAATATTCTAGGGAACAATACCATCAACGGATGATCCATAGTCCAATTGTCTTGCCAAAACCGAATGCTCCTCCCATTGCCAATTTTAAAGCTATATTTACCTCTGATACTACAGCCCAACGAATCAGCATTATAATGGTTTCTCACCATATCTCTCCACATCCAGGATAGTTTAGGAGAGACTTTACTGTCAAACTGCATCAAGGAAGGATCCAATTTATATTTGATGCAGAGCAATTCCCTCCAAACCGCCTCCCTCTCAATAGCAAACCTCCAAGCCCATTTTTCCATGAGTGCCCTATTCACCACCTTTAAATTAGGAACCCCCAATCCTCCTTCAATTTTAGGTTTACAACATCGGACCAGCTTACCCAATGTATCCTCTTTCTCCCATCACCACCTCCCCACAAAAAATTTGACATGATAGAATTTAGAGTCTTGTAAACTGATGCTGGAACCTTGAACATTGACAAAAAGTAAATAGGGAGTGAGCATAGCACTGATTTAATTAGAACTAGCCTGCCTGCCAGTGACAGAGAGGAGCCTTTCCATCCCGCCAGCCTCTTATTAAAGCTTTGAACCACTGGATCCCATAGGATGTTGGAGTTCCTATGTGGACCTAGAGGGAGTCCCAAATATTCTGAGGAAAAGAGCCCACTGAACATCCAATCATAGATGCCCAACCCTTAATTTCCTCTTCCTTTAAGTTCACTCCAAATAATTTACACTTCTTTAAATTCA